AGGGAGTCAGCTGTGAGGTAAAAAAGGATAGAGACAGATGACCTGAGTTCAAACTCTATCTGCAGGATCTTGAAACAACTTAATACATCTGAACCTAAATATAAAATGAGAAAAATAACCTACTACAGTAAGTTACTGGTAGTATTAGAGAAGACAATGAGGAAATACTTAGTTCTTAATTTTTATGTCTTGGTTTTGATATCTTCTCAATTATCTGGGCTCAGCAAACATTGAAGACATTTTTTACTTCATTTTTCCCCTCAGTCTTCACATCAGTCAGGTGCCAAGAATTACAGGTTCTCCTTCATAACATCTCTTTCATTCTCTTCTGTCCATTGTGACCAAAATCACCTGTACACAGGTTTTCATAGCCTCTGACCTAGACTATTGCTACAACATCTAACACGGTGCCTATGTGTTGTGGGCACTCTGCATTTATTAATCAATCAGTGACAGTTCCTGAATAGTCTTTTGTATGATACCTGCCAACATGCCTCCTATACAGAAAGCATTCTGTTAGAAACAAAACTAAACCCTTTGCAGCTATCTATTACCCTACAAATTACATTCAAGAAGATTATGTTTTCAACTCTAGGGTCTCTAAACTGTCTTAACTCCTTTCCATATCCTTTAGAGTGAACTGGAGCATACCTGGTATTCCACCACATAGTGGTTTTGTTCATTTGACTTCCTTCACCCAGAATGGTTTGGCATCCTTAACCCTCACCCCATCATTGCTCAGCTCATGAATTCCCAGGCAAACGAAAGCTCTGTGAAAGGATCATACATCCCAGAGTTTCCTATGCCCATTCCTGCTCCCTGTGTTTCTGAGGTGCAAGACTAGACACTAGGTATTGTCTATTCAGCCTTTCCTCCAATTCTTGAGAACTTTGAGCCCTACTAAGATGTCTGCTATATAACAAAAACATTATTTAAAATGCCTATAGCACTATTTTCTAACAAAGTGCAAGAACTATAATGATGACAGCTTCAGTGCTTTCAGGGTGTTTATTTAGAGGAGGCCTGACAGATTTAGGCCCAGCAAATGATGCCTCCATAGGCGGAGTAGGTTTACCACCCCAGGTGATAATGTGGCTGTTGTATGAGACCTCTGAACTGACAAGGAGAATGCTGCTTGCAACACTATTCATAACTGGTTTTTCTCTCAGAACACCTCCAGAATTAGTTTGGTTTGGGAAGATGTCTTTTCAGCTCTAAGGGAGAAGTAGTTGGTAAGCTCTTGGCTATACTGAGGAAGTCTTTGTAATGAGAAAGGTGGATGCTGTAAATTGGGAACTCAGATGTATTAGGCTTAGGGAGAGACCACCATCAGGAAGTTCACCTCTGTGGTCTTAGCTCACTGATGTTCAAGTTCAAGTACTGGTGAGGACCTAGACATGTCATTAAAGGCGAATGTATTCCATATAGTATCACTTCTCAAAATGATGCATTTTTCCTTTTTTTTTTTAAAAAGTTTCAGATTAATAAGAGGGTATAAACAATTAGGTAACATTGTTTGTGTTTGTTAGGTAACATCCCTGTTGTAGTTGTGTCTCTCACCCAGGAGGTGCGCTATATACCCTTACATTGTGCCCATTAGGTGAAAGCACACCAATCCCCCTCCCCCAAAATGGTCCATTTTTCAGTCTTGGTGTAGATTTTGAGACTAAGACAAGACTGGAGCTTTATGAGCATGGGCATTTGAGGGTGGTCCATTTATCAGTCTCAGTGTAGATTTTGTGCCTAAGACAAGACTGGAGCTTTATGAGCATGGCCATGTGAGGGCAGCAGAGAGCAAAAGAGTATGTCACCCTTTTGTTCTCTTCATACAGCTGGCCCCTTTTCCACCTCAGTTCTCAGATGAAATATCTTCTCTGAAATGTTTTCCCTAAGGCCCTGTGATAAGTAGGTACTGTCGTCATTTCTTACCTCAAGCCTCTCTTTCTTCAAAGCCTTAATAAGTTATAATTCAGAAATTATTTTATTTATGGCTTTATTGTTAACTGAGTATAGGCTTCTTGAGAGCAGAGGCACATCTCTTCCACATCTATATTCTCAGTTAAAAAGTTATTGAAATAGTCCCACTGGGAAATAGTGATGATTTGGACCAGTATGGTAACAATGGTGCTAATGAAACATGGGCATATTCAAGTCATATTTTATTTATTTTATTTTAACAACTTTTAGTTATTTATTTTTATGAAATCATTGCTGTGTACATTAATGCAGTCATGGGGAACAATGTGCTGGTTTTATATACAATTTGAAATATTTTCATCAAACTGGTTAACAAAGCCCTCATGGCATTTTCTTATTGTGTTAAGACATTTATATTCTACATTTAGGAAGTTTCATGTGTACCCTTGTAAGATGCACCATAGGTGTGGTCCCACCAATTACCATCCCCCCTCCCGTTCCCTCCCTTTCCCCTTTCCCCATATTTTTGGGCTATAATTGGGTTATAGCTTTCATATGAAAGCTATAAATTAGTTTCATAGTAAGACTGAGTACATTGGATACTTTTCCTTCCATTCTTGAGATACTTTGCTAAGAATAATATGTTCCAGGTCCATCCATGTAAACATGAAGGAGGTAAAGAAAAGAAAGAGGGAAAGGAGAGGCCCTGGTAGAAAGCAATGCTGGGAGAGCAGGGGGAGGCTTCCAGCTGAAAAGGCTTGAGAATGAGAGGCTCTCAGCTCCCAAGACAACTCTGGTGAGGGGAGGGCAGGAGAAGGCATGTGAGAAAAGCTGACACATCCTAAAGCACACCCCAGGAGAGCTGGGTATCTAGGAAGGACTCAGATTGTATTTCTAATTACACTCCTTTGGCAGTGTTGGATAGATCCTCCAATGAGAAGCTAAGAAAAGAAAAAAGAAAGCAGGAAAGAAGAGGTCCTCTTTAGAGAACAATTTAAGCCATTCACATTAATTTAGAATATTGATAAGCTTGGTAAAATTTGGGATATTGAGTTTAAGTCCAGTGGACATTTTTAATCCTTTTCACCACTTTGGAAGTTGGAATTTGATGAAAACTTTCTGAGTGAGTTTACTTTTGTGTTGGAGGATTGTGCTAGTCCTTATGGAGGATAGGTCTGAGAAGATCCTGGAGAGCTGTTTTAGTTATGGCAAATTTCTTCAACATGTGAATGTCACTGAAGTATTTAATTTCTCCATCATAAATGAAACTCAGTTTAGCTGGATGCAGGATCCTGGGTTGAAAGTTATTTTGTTTTAGGAGATTAAAAGTTGATGACCACCCTCTTCTAGCTTGAAAGGTTTACGCAAAGAGATCTGGAGTTATTCTAATATTCTTCCCCTTGTAGGTTATGGTTTTCTTATGTCTGGCAGCTTTCAGAACTTTCTCCTTCATATTGACTTCAGTGAAGTTAATAATATGTGCCTGGGGGATGTCTTATTTGGGTTGAGTCATGCTAGGGTTCTGAGACTGTCTGCTATCTGAATTTCAGAATCGCTTGGAATGTCTGGAGAGTTCTCTTTCATAATCTCATGAAGAAGAGCCTCTATGCTTTGCAAAGCAACTTCATCACCTTCAGGGATTTCTATAAGGTGAATATTAGTTTTCTTCAAATTATCACAGAGCTCTCCAAGAGAATGATCCATTTTTGCTCTCCATTTCTCTTCCTTTTTGAGAGTTTGGGCACATTCAAAAGCTTTGTCTTCAATGTCAGAAATCCCTTCTTCTGCTTGCTCCATTCTGTTACTGAGGGATTCTTCTGTACTTCTCAGATCTTTGAGCGCTGCAAATTCTTCTCTCAATGGGTCAAAATCTTTGGGGATTTTGTCTTTGAATTTGTTGAATTCTTGAGACAACTTTCGAAATGCTCCTTAAATTTCTAATTCCAAGTTTGCCTCTATTCTATGAATCTTCTTTGCAATCCAAATTCTGAATTCAATTTCTGGTATCTCAACCATCTGTTTATGAATGGGGATTTTCAGTTGTATCTGCCATATCCTTCCTTGAGGAGGGGGTTGATCTACTCTGGTTATTCATGTTACTGGAGTTTTTCTGCTCATTCTACCCCATGATAATTTTACACCGTTTGGCTAGATGAGCAGATAAGGAGAAGTTGGGTTGGGGCTCTAGGAGTAGTCATTAGCTAGCCCTTTTCCCAAAATCTGGGACTGGTGTCTGTACACTTTCCCCTAGAACTTTGCAAAGGACCTATACAGTGCTATGGCCTGAGAAACTGGGGGCTTGCTTGGCGTGGTGGGGCTATGTGGCTCTGCCTTGTTTTTAGCTGGTCTCTATCCTATCCTAGTGAATCAGTTACTCTGGGTTGAAGTCTCAGCTATGGAGAAATACCAGCAATTAAGTCACCCCGCCCCCCCCAAAGGCAACATTTAGAAAAGGAAAATCAAACCTTCCTACAACCACACACCCAGGGTACCAGTTTGGATAGTCCTCAGGTGATTAGCCCAGTTCAAGAGGTCAAAATCAATTGTCCCAGTCAGCACTGGTCTCAGGTGAGAGAGTTCAAAAGGTCTCTGGCAACTAGATAGCAGGGGTCTGCTGGCAGCTCAAGTATGACTCCCTCCTGTGCTCCATGAGGTCAGAAGGACCAACTCAGCAAAAAGATTAGTCTGGGAAGGTTGATGCCTTCTTCCCCACCTTGCACCTCTGCACACACAGTCACTGGTAAGCACACAGGGCTGTGACCCAGTTCCCTTCAGTGAGCAGATGCTCCAGGGGTTTGCACCTGCCTAAGTCACAGGGAGATCTATGTGTCCTCAGCCAGGCCGCTGCTCTCTGCCACTATCCAGCAGGGGGAGGTGGGCCTGACAACCTCAGGTGCTCAATGGAGGCTCAGGCGATTCACTCAGTTCCAGCCCCACCCCTGATTGATGTTGCTGGCAGAACAGAACAACTTCACATAATTTGTTTCTGTTCCTGCTATAATCCCCTGTGGATCAGATGCTTTTTGAGGTCACAGAAACGGCAACTCAGCCTCAGTTTGTGCTGTCCGGTCTCAGGGCAGACATGGTTAGAGCTCCCACTCAGCTGTCAGTTCCAGCCTCTGCCTGGTGGCCTTTGTCTCAGCTATGATCCCCTGAGGGCTGGGTGCATCTTAGGTTCAGTAAAGCAGTCCTCTGGGTCAGCCACCCCCTGGGAGGCTGCCATCTCTGAGCACATTCTAGTCCCCGTGCTCTGCCCAGGCAGGCACCGCCTCAAGCATACCTTTTACTCACAGGGCCTACGTTCCTGTCCCAGATCTTTTCCCCCATTGTCTGCCACAGGAGAAGATGCTCAGCTTCCTCTTGTTGCCCAGAGAGACAGGGAGTGTCTGTCTGGAATATCCCCAGAGGTGATAGGGATAGGGCATGAGCCCTATAGTTTCTGCTGCTGCAGCTGCTGCTGTATGCCTCAGGGCACTGCCACTCTTGTATGGTTTCCTCTTAGTTGGCCATCTTCTCCTTACTCCCATGCCACAGAATAAGCACAGACCAGCAACAGCCCTTGCTCTGTCCACATCTCTCGAGAAAATGCCCAAGAATCTGGAGTCCATGGGGGAGAGGCTTCCAAACCTCAGGGTGAGAGTGGAAGGGAGTGCTGGGAGTTCAGCATTGCAGGTAGAGAATATATACAGTTTTACGCCTGGCAGGAGAGTGCCAAGGCACCCTAGTAGGGAGAGAAGGTCCAGTTTTAGAAGATCTCTCTTGTGGGATAAAATGGGAGGACAATTGAACTCTGCTTGCTTGTTTGTACAGAGTATAGTGTGAACCCTTTTCATGGGTGAGGGGACTCCCGTCTACTTGGCAATGGCTTTTGTACCTTTTGTTTGTATCTTTGGGGTTTCAGCTTGCCTCAGCAGGGTTAATGTGCGTTCTTCAGTCTTCTGTTTTGGCTCAGCTTAGACCATCAGCTTACTTGCTAAACTTCTGTACTTAAACTCTCCTTCTGGACAGGAGTCTCTGTGGAAAGCTGGCTCCATTCAGCCATCCTGCCTCCCAGCTAAAAAACAAAACAAACAAACAAAAAAACCTCAGGTTTTATTTTAGATGCAGATCCAAACAGACTTGCTAGACAATTAGATACTGTGGAGGAAGAGAGAAGAGGATTATTCTTACAGTTTCACCTTAAGCTACCAGTTAGATGGTGATGCCTTATACTTAAATGGAGAATACTCCAGAGGAGCAGGTTTGGGGACAGGTGTTAGATAAGTTAGGTTTGATAGGCCTATTTAATATGCAAATGGATATATCAAGTAAGTGATTGGATAGTCAAGTCTGGTCATAACCAGCTAAAATGAGTCGAGATCAGGGCTAGAAATAAAATGTTTTAATTTATCAGCATATATAGAGACAAGGAACCAAATGAAATCCCCAGGGAAAGTGTTCACAGAAGCAAGGGGAAGGCCAAAGGCTAATCCCTGGAGCAGTCCAACATGTATAAGTCTTTCTGAGAAGAACCAGCAAAGAAAACTAAGGAGGCGCAGCCAGTGAAAGGAAATCCAGGAATACGTAGTTTCACTGAAGGTAGGAAAAAAATGTTTCAAAAAGGGACGATTATTCAACCAACATATATTTTAGGCTGAAAAAATATATAAAAAATAATTGATACAGAAACTATTATTTTTATTATAGTTCAAAATTTAGCATTTCTTTTATTGATTGAATGCATACATCCTACTATATGAGTATTGTATGTATCTTTAGCAAAAGACACAAAATATGAGCTATAACTTTTATCACTTGTAACTTTGTATTCTTGAACCTTTTAAGTAAAATCCATTATCTTCTTTATGTATATTCTGTATTCCCACACAGGTTTAATTCCTGCTATGAATTAATTTTGTCACGTTTTTGTTCATGGGACTTCAGAACATATGGCATTACTGGAGTAAAAGTAAAACGTGTTATTAAAGTTAACAACCGTATTTTGAGACTCAAATTTGAAGAGAAATTTCAAAAGTTTTTGGAAAATGAAGATATACATGATTCAGAGTAAGAATCTGAATTCCTAAGACCAATTTATAAATGTTTGACTTTATTTTGAAAAAAAAAGCCCTTCTGTTGAAAAGTTTACAGTACTGAAAATATACCTTGTTAGTAAATGTTTGCTTTTTATTCATCTCACATGGCTAGGATGACCTCTGTGTGAGGGTGAAGTCAGGGGGTTAGCTATTAATGATGCTGGACACTGGATGCACATGGGAAGTATCCCTGGCAGGACATATGGTTATCTTATCTATGGCTAAGCTTTTGTGAAATAAATTCTCAAATATTTCTCTTTTAATTAATCTTAAGGCACTATCGAAAGATGCTGGAATGCCTTTTTTATGTTTTTGATCCTGAGGTTACAGTGAAAAAAAAGCATCTGCTACAAATACTTGAGAAAGGATTCAAAGAGAGTGAAACAAGCAAGGTACAGTAAAATGTCATTTAAAGTAATACTTTCTTCTAACAAGTGGAGTTTTGCCACTGGTTAAGCATGACTCCCAATCCTATTATCAATATTTATAGCAAACTTCCTCTGCTATTTCATAAAAATCTTAGTGTTATTGTAGAACTTACAGCTTCTTCCCTTTCTGGATTGTACCAGGATAACGCCATTAATTACATTATCTGCCTACCTCCACTTAATCCTTCTAGGCACCAGCCTGAGCAAGAGCAAGACCATGTCTCTAAAAAAAGAAAAAAATAGCCAGGTGTCATGGTGGATCCTGTAGCCCCAGCTTCTTGGGACACTGAGGCAAGAGAATCTCTTGAGCCCAAGAGTTTGAGGTTGCTGTGAGCTGTGATGCCATGGCACTCTACCAGGGACAAGAAAATAAGACTCTGTTTCAAAAAAAAAAAAAAAAGAAAGAAAGAAAGAAAATACTTCTAGGCATATTATTTTTTATGGTGATGATTTTGAAATCTGCTTTTTTAATTGGCTATAAGACTGTTATAAATCTTTAATCTATTATAAATACTCCAGAGTCTTCACCTTGAAAAACTCTAGTCACTTAACTCGGTGGTGTTTTCCAGTTATTATCCCATTTTTTCTTTCCTTCTTCTGTCACTATTTCCTTATTCTCTACTTCCCATCCTCCAACTCACTGCCAATGTGCTTTTTTGTTAGTGACTCCTGAGCTCCAAACATCCAGCCAACTTTTGTCAGACCTCTTGGTGAGGCACCTGTAGCTGAAGTTCTTCCCAATCCTTTTCACATCATGGCACACATAAAATAATAACATGGCTACATTGAATCCTGGCTTCACTACTCACCAGCCATGTGACTTCACCTCTCTGTGCCTCTTTGTTTCTATCTATCTGTAAAACAAAGATAATAATACATGTGTATCTATTTTGCATAGTTGTTATTTAGGATTTAGTGAGTTAATGTATTAAAAAGTTCTTGAATACTAATATACCAGTGTTCATAGCACCACTATTCAAATAGCTGAAATAGTAGAAACAATGCAAATATGCATCAAAAGATGAATGAATAAACAAAATGTATACTAAACTTACCCCGGAATGTTAGTCTGCCATAAAAAATAAAATTCTGAAACATCTTTGACAACACAGCATGGAGAACCTTGAAAACATCGTGCTAGTGAATTAAGCCAGGGGAAAAATATTGCATGATTCCATGTACATGAAGTACTTAGAATAGGCAAATTTGAGAGAAAGTGGAATAGAGATCCCCAGGGCTGGAAGGGATGAGGGGTGGATAGTTACTGTTTAATGGTTATAGAGTTTCAAATTGTAATAATGAAAAAGTTCTGGGAATGGATAGTGGTAGTAGTTGTACAACAGTATAAATGAGCAATGCCACTGAATTGTATGCTTAAAAATGGTTAAAATGGCAAATTTTATCTTATGTCTATTTTAACACAATAAATCACAAAAAAGAACATTTCAGCCATTTGATGGAGAATGGATTGGCGGGGGTAGGAGCAGATGGTGGCAGCACTGTTGGGGGAGCTACTACAGCAGCTCAGGCCCAGGATGGTGGTGGTCTCATAAGATGGTGTTGGTGGGAGAGCCTTTGTTGTGCTTTTGGAAGTAAGAAATGAGGAATTCAGGGTTCTAGAAGACTTGAGTCCAGAAAACTGTGAACCACTGTGGGCAAGGGGGGTGGAAAACCTACCACCCTACCACACACCGTGCTGAGCACTTTGTCTTCTGCTACCAACAGCTCTTGGAGCTGCTCTGTCTTATACAGTAGGCACATGTGACGACTGAGTATTTAAAATGTGGCTAGTCCAAATTGAGTGCATTAAAATTTTAAAATAAACACCAGTTATTTAAAGACTTAACTATAAAAAGAGATGATAATTTCTTATGTTGATTACACATGAACATGACAGTATTTTGAATCTATTAGATTAAATAAAATCTATTAATAAAATTTACCAACATAGTTCTTGGACTAGTGCCTGGCACATAGAGAGCTTTTTCATTACTGTCTGAAGCATTCGTTGCTGTAGATTGCTCTCTCCTTTCTGAAACTCCCCTTTGGCATCCATGAGGTTACACTATTATCATCTCCAATTTTTATGCTTGTCCTATCTGTGTCTCCTTTTTGTTACTCTTTCCTCTAAACATGAAAATACCACCATGTGAAAGTGCATAGATCTGCCCTTCTTCATCCACACACCTCAATTACTCTCACTGTTAAGATCCTAGAAACGGGAGAAATGTTACTGTAGCAGGTAGAAGAATAGATGACTAGATGGCTGTGCCATGATGCACACACAACGAATAAAGATAAATATTTGTGTCCTGCATTGCGGAGACATGAGCTCCAATTTAAAAGACCCCATTGTAAGCAATTTAGAAAGTAGGTTTGGCTTAGTTTGGCAGGCTTTATAAGGCAGAGGGGTGGCTGGAGCAGGAAAGAACTATTTGACTGGAAAACACATTGGAGGTTCAGTCCACCTCTAGGCTGAAAAGGAAAGAGCTCTTTCCCTCATTTCAGGATG